ACTTACTCAAATAAACTTGAAGTATACTACTTTTTGGTAAGGGATATGCTCAACACCTCCATATGTGTACAGGGTAGATTAAGTCATATGGCTTTAAAAATAAGCAGTTTATGTTTCATGTCATTTGTAATTATACCTGTGTATATTAACAAATCTCTTAAACATGGCATGACATGTGGGCTAATATATTGTGGCTAAATGTTTGCTGTTGCATTATTTAGGAATGAAATAAAGCTAATGGAGAGTTCTTCGCGAATCAACATTTACAAATCCTGCTATAACCTGTATTAAACCTTCACGATTGAATCGTTTTTAACAGCGTCGGCATATCCTAATAAACTATTCATTAGTACCGAAGCCGGTCTGGAGCTTCGCTGCCGGGAAGGCGCGTCTTTGGGGCGGGACTTGACCAAAAACCCCTGTGCGGTGTGTCCCGGAAGGGCCGAAGATATAATGTTAGCAGAATTCATAACGCGACTGGAACACGCTCTGTAAGCAAAAGCGCACTTCAGTCAGAGGCTCGTCCATGCTGTTTGTCCGGAGATGTGTGGAGTGTCCTCTAGAAGTCTTCATCATGCTGACCACAGTAAACTACATGGATGTGATGGCAAGTTTAACAGAGTGCGGTCTCCACACACAGATCGCTCGTGCATTATATAATAGCTACATCATACAATAAAAACAAAAACAATGATTGCCATTCACTAGTCGCGTCCATCGTATGATCATCAACTGACAAAGCTGACTATAACAGACCCGCCTAAATAAGCAGACTAGCTACAGATATCAGCCACGTGTATTCAGAACAGATGCTATTCATTCTTCTACAACTAAATGTCTCAGTGGCTTACCTATGCCAGGAGCTGAATAGATGAAGTACAGTGCAGAAGTGGAGAGCGAGAAGAGAAATAAAAGCCCGAGGAATGACCTTCTCCGGAATCTCATATGTGTCGGCATTATAGAGAGAGACGCAGATATGTGTCCGGTTAATAGACGGGGAGTCCGAGCGCAAACACGCTGATTCAGGTCCGATCCCGAAATGTATCCAATCTAGAAGGTCCACCCGTCCTAGTAGAGTCTCATCATCTTCATCCCGTGTATCTGTGTGTAATGGTCAGGGACGGACACACACACACACTCACTCACTCATACACACACCCTCCTGCGCGCTGGTAATGAATGGAAGAGCATGGGTTTGTGCGTTACGCACATACTTGTAGCAGGCCAATATTTAGGGACCGTCTGTAAATGAGGGACTGTTTGAAAATGACTGTACTACTTGATTACGTAACGCTGCATTCATGGTCCAGTGTGGAAGGATATTCCTGACTATTTTCAAAATGAATGGCAAATTGTATTTTCAATTGAGTTTTCCATATGAAATGTGGACGCATAAATAGTGACATAATCCAAACGCAATTGCACATCTTGCATCGTTTGCGTTTTCGCTTTTGCGAACGCACAGTGACTGCCAAATTTCAAATGGAAACGCAAAGTCCATTTGCAACTGATTTCCCATGTCTTAAGAGTAATGAGCCTGTCATATTTAAATAGCAATATTATTTACCACGTCTGCTTTTTCACTCTCTCTCTGCGCAAGCATGTAACCTGCCGAACTCAAATGCATAAATACCTGTCAACATTTGGGTACCAAAATCCGGGAGACCTCAGAGCGGGAGTGGTTGGGGCCGTTCAGGAGGTTCAGGGTATCTGCAGGATTTGTCAAATCAAATTTAAGACTTTTTCAAAGGCCTTTTTAAGACCTGCACAAGTCAAATATAATACCGTATGAGCGGAGTAGAGCAATGTCTATGGTAACATATTAAACCTTAAAATGACTG